GAGGGAGAGAAAAAGTCATAAATGGTTGGGGAAGGGGAGGGAATGCGTTTTAAAATTAAAAAAAAAAAGAAAAACGGGTTTGCTACAACAACAGGAGTGCAACAGAGGTGCAGTGTGCAAATTTAAGGCAAAGTTTCTGTGGCAAGCCTGCTAGGATGGGAACAGGTGTGACCCTGAATTTCCCAAGTATGTGCTTGAGGCCTGCCCTTCCTCCAGGATTTCAGGGAGAGCTGGGCACCAAGGTAAACAATTTGCCCAAGGGGCAGAAACTTGGAAGTTTAACAAGACAACTCATTTATTTTCCCATCAGGGGCCACCCACGTGCGCTAACTTGGCTGTCTGGCACCCATCAGGAGGGGCCTGGACTCTTCCCGGGGATGACTTGTGGTCATTGGCCTTACAGTTGAATCCAAGTGTAATAATTGGTTTTTGGTTTATTTCTTTAAGTTAAAGAAATAATTATTGTTTGTTGTTATATTGTGGGGTGGACCAAAGCAGCGCATGCCAAAAGGGAGACATGGGACCAATTTGGGAATGGACTGATGTGGCACACTCACAGACTGAAGCGGCGCGATCACAGATCGCTACACCTTAGAGGGAACGTTGTTCCCTACTCAACCTAGAGTAACTTGTGCACCAAAGCATGCATGGCATAGGTGTTCCCCAGGGACAAGTAGTGGTGGTGCAAGGTGCACTGCTGCCACTTGTCCTCAGGAAACCAAACATCCACGTTTGTCTGGACGCAACCCTTGATAGAAAATCATTGGATCTATGCCACAGGGAGAATGACTGGACAGAAGGCTTCTCAAGCCAGTCTGTGTCTCCTGTGGTGGAATGGTTTGTAGCTGGATATAGAGTAAAGAACAAAGTACCTTTTTAGAATAAAGTACCTTTAGATTGCATAAGGTGGTCAAAGCTACTTCTGTGCTCTCTCTCGTATTAACCTGCACAGGCTGTAAATTAGATGAAACAAAACATTTAATCACTTTGAGTCATTTGCCAGGATCCTACAGACCATAGCTTGTATCAAAAAGCACCTTGTTTTGGAGGCTTCATGTGACTGACTTTTCATTTGCATTACCTTATTTTTCCATGTAGATGATTGAAACAGAATGTTTTGAAGATATCAATGCATATGAAATGGATAGCACCTTGACACCAGATGTGGACATGAGCAAACATACTCCTAGACCAAAGAAAGGCTTCTTTCACAGACTGTTCAGAAGAATGGTAGGAGGGCTTCCTGTGCATTTTGTGGGAAACAAAATACAAAATAATAATTAAAAAGCAAAGCAAGGGAGGACCAACCTTGCTATGTCTGTCAAGTGGCAGACTCAACACTTTTATAGTTTATCTTAAAATGGAGATGTAATGCATTGTAAAAGTGTATCAGATTAGAACAGGGGTGGGCACAATACGACTCCCAGCTGGATCTGGTCCACCAACTGATTATATCTGGCCCATGGGTCAGCGGCTGCAAAGTCATAGGATCCGGCCCATAGGAGCTGGTGGTTCCAGCTGCTGCATTGTGCTGGGTAGGCAAGCACGTCCCAGCCCCATCCCAACTCCATCCACAGTTTACATGATCTCTGGCCCCACACCCTTGAAGTAATGCTGGGTGCATGCTGGTATAGCTGTAGATGGTGTCTACAGGTTCCTGCCAAGTATCAGGATGACTGCCTTGGACCACAGCTGACACAGGGATGCAGTAGCATCACCTGCGGACCTGGGAAGATGCCCTGATCCCTAGGGTGAACCAGCTACCTGCATCCACAGCGGATACCAGCACCTGCCTGGTGCTGCTCCCAGTGCATGAGCCAGGCGCGAGTGTAAGCTTCTGGGCCATTCTGTAGGTGCAGAATGGTTAGGGGGGTAGGGGGAGAAAGGAGGAGGGAGATAGAGAAAGGCAGCTCTGCCAATGATGAGCAGCAGTGGCTGGTGCCGT